AACTTCCCCGTTTACTACTTGCAGGTGGGATACTAAACCGTTTCTCCTTATTTCTATTCTACTTTAGTATAAATCTTGCCGCCCCCCCCGACCCCAGCAACCCCATCTTTAGTGCTCCAAATGCACATGGAAGGCATAGGGACTAACTCTTGTACCCGGAAACGGATGGGGATCTAGTAAAGAGGGTTCAGGCTGAGGACCGGGTGTGGGGGTGCTTGGGGGCTCTACACTGGCAGAGAAGCGGGGTGTGATGTACTCGCGGAGGAGGGTGGAGGAGGAGAGGGGGTATCAGGAGGGTTGCGGGAGGAGAGGTGCGGGTGAAGGGAGAGTACAAGGGGAAGGGGTTCGGCGAAGGAGCAATGCGGGGGAGGTACAAGTGAAGAGTCTGCGAGCGGGATTGGGGGGTGCAAGGACTGAGAGGGACAGGCGCTGCCAGCTGCTTCCCCAGCCCCGTGCAGGCAGAGCTGAGAGGACAGACACTGATCCCCAGGTGTCTGAGCCGTGGGGGTCTTCCAGCAGGGCAGTATCCCCCGCTGCCCCGCTCGGAGCCGGGCTCTGCCTCTCCCCACCCCTGGCGCTGTGGGGGCCCGGGGCAAGCAATGCGGGGCTGAGGAGGGGGAGGTGTGCAGCAGGCTGGGTCCGGGGGCAGCTCCCTGGCAGCTCCGGCTGCCCAGCCACTTACCCCATCAGCGCGCGAGCTGGGATCCGTGCCCCCTGCACAGCCCAGCAGCGCCCTGCACAGCCCACTCGGGCGGGGAAACGCTGCGCCGCCCTGGGGAGACTCAGAGCAGCAGCGGTGGCGGCAGCGGTAGCAGGACCCCTCCTCCCTCCCTGCATCCCGGGCCCCGCTTCCCTCCCTCCCTGGCTCCTCACACACTCCGGGATCTCCTCTCGCGCCGCAGCCCGGGCTCAGCTCCAGGGGACGATGCTCTGGCTCTCCAGCGGCACGGCTCCAGCCAGGGCCGGCTCCTGGCTTTTTGCCACCCCAAGCAAAACAAAAACAAAACAAAAAAGGGGCCGGAGTGCCGCCCCTTGGAAAGTGCTGCCCCAAGCACATGCTTGGAGCGCTGGTGCCTAGAGCCGGCCCTGCTTTCTACAGTGCTGCATAAATAGCCTTTTATAGCTGGAAAGGAGGGGTACCATTAAGAGACAAGCTTAGGGGAAAAAGCCGGTCAAACCCACCAGCCTTTAGGCCATGTTGGGAATGTTGTAACAGCCTCATGAAAGATTCTGCGTAACCTCCTTCATACAGTGGCTCTTAACAATGAACGCCTAATAAATGTACAGTCTGCAAGAATTTACTATACAGTAACTAATCAGATTTATATAGTCATAAACTTCAACAGCTCTGTGTCTGTGATTTATAGCAGTCCTTAATTACAAGCTATACTAGGATATGAGATGTAGGACTCCAATTGTACAGTGATGTTATACAATTGCACATTGGTCATAGCGTTTTGGAACAACTACTTAGTAATGCTGCACAATCTGTAAGTGACCACTTTAAAAAATAAATCTTAGCACCACTGTCATGCTAAGCATTACAAAGAAATCCCAGAAGAAACCACTGTAGGAAATAGTAGGGCTTATTACAACAGAGAACAAGTCTTCCTCCTATTATAAAAGGAGTGTATACTGGGGTTTTCTGCATGAAAGCTTTTCATCAGTTTCCTAGTCAGTTTCCTGCTTCCTATAACCCAGAATAATAGAGTACATTCAAGAGCAAATTATGGTTCTGCAAACGTTCATTACCTGGGCATCGTGGGCAGCACAGCTGTGGCACATGCACTGGGGTAGGGCAGTGTAGGCTTGGACATCTTATTCTGCTGCATAATACGTTCCCATTCTGGGGAAGGAATGCAACAATTAAATGCATGGATTGGGTATTGTGCCCTCTATTCTGCTTCTAGGTATTATGGTGAAGACTGTTGTTATGGGCCAGATTCTGATCTCCGTTACACCAGTGTAAGCCTGGGGTAACGCCACTGATTCCAGATTTACACTGCAGTAACTGAAATTAGAATGTGGACTAAATCCACAAAATAGCATAAATGCTTTCAAATAAAAGGGAGCATCTAGAAATGGGATCTCAACAATTTTCACTTGTGTATTCAAGTGTCTTTTGAGCCAAATTATACTTAGAAACTGCTTTTCCAAGGCTAAGGAATATATGATGGATGATAGGTCTTTGAGGCACCTCCTGTTGAGGATTCATTTGAGAGCAAAAGAGATCATAGAGTCTATAATTTTTAATTCTTCCACTAAACCTGCAGAGAGTCCTCTGTTCTCATTGTATTGATTTCCCAATAGGCAAAGAAAACCAGTTGGTAAATAGTTATTTTTCTAAGAAATATGAGCAGGATTTGGGAATAGGATTCATTATTCATAATGAATGTAATATTCTGTTTGACCATATCTAGGTTTGATTTATAATTAAAGCACAGGGAATATTCAGTCTCCAAAGTCTATAAACCATCTATGTTACATCAGAAAAGACTATCCATGTTACACCAGAAAAGACTATCCATGTTACACCAGAAAAGACTATCTATTTCAGATTTCCACTTCCCCTCCCTATTTCATACCCTTAAGTTAGCTATGAAAGCTATTAATGTTTGTAAATAAGAAAGACTCTTCAACATGAACATTGATGCTATGCTATGTTTGTGAATGATTGTAGTTTCTGGTGTAGCGTGAAATAAATCCATTTCAACTTCACATGGGCCATCAGAATACTATGAGACTGGTCCAGCCAATCGTTTCCATTCGATTGGGCTCCAACATGCATTAGAATGCCTTGATATAGTCCCATCACTGTACACAGTGTTTTGCCTGTTTACATCAACAAAAAATTGACCCAAAATGGTGGTGGGGTTTGAATTACCAGCCATGCAAACTCAACCTGAGCGCCGAAAACCAAGCTAGATTCTTTCCTTCTTGTGCATCATTAACATAATATGTTCCGCAGGCCAAGTGCTATCTTCAGAGACACCATTGCCTTCAGTGGGTTTACACTGTTGTAACTGATTAGAACTTAGTAAGCAATTCTGATTATGATAAACAAGGAATAATAGAATTCAGCTCCCTCTCTCTTAGCTGTGTCTGCGTTCAGGGCTGGCTCCAGGCACCAGCAAACCAAGCAGGTGCTTGGGGCAGCACATTTTCAGGGGCGGCATTCCAGCCAGCCTCTTTTTGTTTTTTGGCGCTTGGGCGGCAAAAGCCTAGAGCCGGCCCTGGCAGCAGCAGCCCGTCCTGCACTGGGGACACCCTGGGGCCTCTGCAGTTCGCATCGGGGAGCAGCGCCCGCACCTTATGGCCGGGCGGGCTCCGAGCGCGGGACACTTGGGCTGAGGGCTGCCCCTTGGGGCACACGGAGCTGCCTGCAGGTGCCGCAAGGCGGCCGCCCTTCAGCACCGCAGCCGGGGCTGGGCGAAGCAGCCTGAGCCGCCCAGGGACTGTGGCAGGGTGGCCAGGAGCAGCAGCAGGGTCATAGAGGGCGGGGCGCTGCTGTGCGGGGCCTGCGTCCCACTCTCCGGGGCTCCGCTCCCTCTGGGGCTGCCCTGCCCCGGCTCCTCAGCCCCCTGCTGGGGCGGTCCCCCGGCTCTGTCCTCCCGGGTCCCAGCCGGTCCTGGAGGGGGGAGCCCCGGCTGGAGGGACCCTGGGCTGAGGTGCAGCCCAGGAGCCCCGCTGCTTACCCTGACCCTGCCAGCGCTGGACCGGCTGGAGGCGAGGAGGGAGCGGGCGGAGTCAGCACTGGTGTGGGGAAGCCCAGCGCTGGGGCAGCAGGGAGTGCGGGTGGGGTGGGGGGAGAGCCCAGAGTTGGGGCGGCAGGGGATGCGGGTCGGGTGGGGGGGAGAGCCCAGGGTTGGGGC